AACAAATGTAGGACACCTTTCCCTGGCTATGGCGCCAATGCTACAGACCCCCGTGCAGTCGCGCAGCTTTGAGCGTCGCTCAAAGCTGCACACGCGCGCTCCTCACTTCTTCAGAAATGCCCCGCGCCTCAGCACGTACGCTCACGTGGCATGGGAGCTAAAACGTGAAATAAAAATAAGAATTAAAAAGAAACACGAAAAGAAACAATGTTTAGCATTTTGACGAAACTCTAAATCTGGTGCATTATGCTTTTTGTTTATTTTACACGTTATTAGTGCTGATGTCGAGATGTTTAAAGAGGCTTATAAACCGCTTTTATGTTTAGATTTTTCATCCTTTCGAATGAGTTTTATAATTGTTCGAAAGTTTTATGGTTAGTTTCGAAAGTTTTATGATTTTTCGTCTTTTCAAAAAGTGAGCAAAGTACCCCCCACACGCAACGCTGAGGATCGCACGGGCTGTTAGTTTACCAAATTCTGGGTTGTGGAGATCGCTCTGCTCAGCATGCAACCTTCATTGCACAGCACGCGCATGTTCGTCGATTCCCAAAAGCGACCAAAGCACGCTTCGTGCGTACAAACGCTGATTATGTCACCACGGTCAGAAGTTATTTTCTACCTGCGACTGTCACTCGTGGATAATCTGACGCTATACTCATTACAGAATCGCATCAAAAAGCTGAATACTGTGAAACAAAGATTAAAAGCAAAATTCGCGCTGCAAAAATTCTTTACAACACGCCGCTGCGTATAGGTCGGAAACAAAATTCCGTGCGACAAACAGGCGATGAACGCCGCCAAAACGAATACATGATGTCAAGGCGTCAGGTGCGTGAGCGACTTCATGTGCACACAATTGACGCACTTGCAAACGCTGGAAAGTCGAGTGCAAACCAACGCATCACAACATCAGCCAATAGGGTGTTCACAAAATGCGTTTGAATGATTCGAACATGGTTCCAACTTCGAAGCCAGTTGGAAATCGGAGTCATTTTTCTTTTATTATATCCTCCGCATTCGCCGGGCACTGGCACCAGGAGGGTGCAACAGTATATATGGTGCCCCAGTAGACTTCCGATAGTGTATTTATTTCTTCCTCAGCAACGCGCAGTGAACGAGCAAGAAGTTTTTCTTTAGGAGAAGTTCTTGCAATAAGTTAGCAAGAAACAGCGCGCATTGTAGAACGTAGCGGAAATAACCAAGGATGTGAAACAAAAAATAAATAAAAAAACCGGAAGCGCGCAGGGGTCCGCCGATAGCTGGCGGCAGCGAGCTTGTTTGTAAACAAACATCGGTGAATTGCTTGTCCTCCGCGACGGCCGTTGGTCCCTGCCGGCAGTGGCAGACGCCGGGCGAACACAATTTGCCTAGATCGGCGGCGAACGGCCCGTGGCCCGAGCGCAGCTACGAGCATGCAACTCGTTTGTTCCGGAAAATTTCTGCGCCATCTAAGAGGAAAGGCTACAAATAAATCGCGGTTGAATCGCAAGTATTTCTCTCCTCAAACGTCAGGTCTTGTTCCCCTTGTTCCCCTTCCCCTGGGGTAATTATCCTCATTACCTTTGCTTGAAGTACGTCGTAGCGTCTCTCTCATGTGCATAATACATAAGTAATATTACAGCGATTGTTATGCATTTTTGTTTTAAACTGCCCAATCGGTCATCTCACCGCACCACAAGCATCAAACGTTTTCAAAATCTCATTGGTTTAACAAACGCATTCATTATTACTTCAGCCGTACCACGAGGCATCCGCACATGGAACAGCCTCCCTGAATCCATAGTCATCATTACTGACACCACACTATGTCGTGAAAAAACTTGCTTGTTTTTTTTTTCTATCTGCTGCGTTTTTTTTTCCTGATTACACTGTCGGTTTATGTCATACGTCCAATAATGTATTCATTGTGTATAGTTCAACTGACTTTTATGGGCAAGTTGAGCGATAACCTGGAGTGTAGTTTTGTGTAGTATTATTTGTTGCGTTCTTTGTTTCTGTATCGATTTAAACGTCCCCCTTTTCCAAATGCTCTTAATGAGTCTGTAAGGTATTATGAATAAATAAAGAAATAAAGAAATAAGTATTAATGTGACTCCCGAAGCGTAGCTATTTATGTGATGAATACAATGGTCCAAATATTCAGACAAACTTAACATACATGATATTTCCAAAAAAAAAAATCAGTACTTTTACAATAACGTGTCCGAGTTATATATATATATATATATATATATATATATATATATATTTGTATATATTTATATATACATATACATGTATATATATTTGTATATATATATAAATATATATATATATTTGGACAATGGTCCAAATATTCACAGACAAACTTAACATACATGATATTTCCAAAAAAAAAATCAGTACTTTTACAATAACGTGTCCGAGTTAAATATATATATATATATATATATATAGTGCCCTACTCCTCGCAACAATAGTGATGATTTGGACTTGCACAAAGGTTTAAATGAATTTGCACGGCAATTGCACTGTAAAGTTTTTTTCAAAGGAGCTCCTTATCAAGAGCCTTTATATAAACACAAATCCTATTGGATTCCGCCGTTAAATAAACAAAATGTTAATGTCATAAAATACATAGAGGCGGTCCAGAAAGATATTTTATCAGCGTATAAAAAAGACAGACCACTTAATAATAATTTAACTTATAAGGATAGGCAATGCTTAAAAAACCTGACGGATAACAGAGATATCATAATAGCCCAGGCTGACAAAGGGGGAGGTATATGCAAAAAAACTACTTAACTCCTTCCCGCATAAACCCCTTTTTTATAAACGTTTCCTAGACGACATATTTATAATTTGGAATAATGGGGAAGATAAGCTCTTTGAATTTATTAATTTTGCCAACAATTTTAATCCACATATTAAATTTACGTATAAATACTCTGATACAGAAATAGAGTTTCTAGATATTAAGGTAAGACTTACTGAAAATGGTTTGAAAACAACCTTATATCGAAAACCTACAGATAGACGTCAATTTCTACATTATAAAAGCTGTCATCCAATACAAAACAAAAAAGGTATACCATACAGTCAAATGCTACGCTTAAGACGCTTATGTTCAGAAGATAATGATTTTGATATAAAAGCTAGAGCACTAGGAGAGGATTTCATTAACCGTGGATACCCCTTACCGCTAATAAATAATTCTATATCAAAAAGTCGAGCGATCTCTCGGAACGCGTGTTTAGTAAAGCGGCCGAAAAGAAATAATCATGAATTACGACTAATCTTACCTTACCAATCAAAACTTCCAAACATAAACAATATTCTTAGACGACACATGAATATTTTACACATGGACACAGCTTTAAAGGCAGTTATCCCTCGACCCCCTGGTATAGCGTTCAAGAGACCACGTAATTTATTAGATTTATTTAAACAGTCCCGAAACTCCATCGGACGTAGCCTGGTCCCGATTGGTTGCACCAAGTGCAATCATAACCAATGCAGTTTATGTGGGGACATAATTATAGCTAACTCTATTCGTAGCACAGCGAATAACTTTAATTGGAAAATAAATGGTACCTTTGACTGTAATTCGGAAAATGTTATTTATTTAATTCAATGTAGAAAATGCCAAATTCAATACATAGGAGAAACTAAAACAAGCATAAGAAAACGCATGAATCTACATAAAAGTCATATACGTAAACACGTTGCCGGACCGGTTTCCCGTCACTTAAACTCCGCAGGACATAACGGACTTTCTGATTTTAATTTTATTATACTCCAGGGGGGCTTTCGAACCACCAGAGATCGAAAAAATAAAGAATCTGAATTTATCTATAGATTTAATACTTTAGAACCGAAGGGCCTTAACAGTTCGAAAGGATCATTGCCGTCTTTTTTTATGGACATTTAATTGAGATCTTCTAATCGGTACCGCACTGTTGCTTTTTTTTTTTTTTTCTCGCTTCATCGTTTAATGTGACACGAGCAAACGCGTAACATTGGGCCTCTCATTGGCTTCACATGACACCAGGTATAGTTGGGTTATACCCAACCACATGTCCCAAAAACTGGTTTTATGATAAGAATGGCAGTAATAATATTATATTTAATTATTTCCATAGTATTTATTGCATTGGTATCGAGATATATTAAACTTTTAAGCGAGAATTTAGTTGAGTAGGCACCCGCTGAACGGTAAGCATTTTTCCAATTAACTTCTTCTTTTTTCCGGCCGTTTTTTCTTTGATTGAAAGAAAAGGAGAACGAAGTCTTCTCACTTGACTGACGAAGAGCCTACCAGGCCCGAAACGTTTCACTGATCTCTTTTTTGGCAACCTCCTCGGCTAACTCCTTTAAGGGCTAATATTGTTTTGAGTATATATATATATATATATATATATATATATATATATATATATATATATATATATATATATATATATAATTAGGAGCGGCATTTCTTAATTTTGGCTAAAATTGACCGAGGGTCTCAGGCAACATATTGTAATTTCTTATCTCGGGCATTAATCTTAATGCCTTATTTTATTATTTGGTTGCTCTTTTCTACCTCTTTTTGTTTTTTGTCATCGATGGCTGCTACTGCTTATCGGGCTCTAACACAGTCTCCGGCCTTCTTATCAGAAGCCTTGATTTCAATTCTTAGAATAATGTATGTTTTGAGATTAATTTTCGGGCCAATTTTATTGGAAAAAAGACAGATACCAAGTTTTATGTTATTTATGATACAATTCGAAATACCGGGCCGCCATCTCATGATCGCAGATTTTTACAGCGGTGGTAAATTTGTTCTATTCGAATTTATTACGCAATTCTAACGAACCATTTCTCACGTGCTGTTTCAACTCATGTTGAAGATATATTAGATAAGATTAGAATGTTTCATGTCTTATTTCGTCCTACTTTAGATATCATATATAGAACAATTTCTACTGGCACGAAGGGAAAATAGAGCCACATTCTCTTTGACAGGTGGCAGTTGTGCTGCAACATGGCCAATACCAATTCAAGGGCTGAGAATGTCGACGAAACCAAAACTGCACCGGCGATAAATGCAGGGCTCTACACCGACTCGCACCTTTTCACGCAAACCATGAACCGCAAGATTCTAGACTTGTTCCAGATGTCGTTTGGAAGAAGACCCACCGCCAGCCAACAGTTCATCGACTTGGGTTGCGGGCCCGGTGACAGCACCCGCGAAGATCTGTTACCGCGCTGCCAGCCTTGCCGGAGGATTGTGGCCACTGACATCTCTCGACAAATGATCGAATACGCCGAGAAGCACTTCGCACATCCGCAGATCGCGTACGAGGTACACGACGTAGAGAGTGACATCTCGGGACTCGTTCAGAAGTACGGCAAGTTCGAGCGTGTCTACTCTTTCATGGCACTCAACTGGGCACGGGACACAACTGCTGCATATCGAAACGTTGCCGGCCTTATGACCGATGACGGCGAGTGCTTGCTGGTGGTCGCGGCTCGCGTGATTTTATACAGGGTATGGAGGAGGATCGTGGAGTTGGATCGGTGGAAAAAGTACAAGAAGGTAGGTTTATTTCCCAGTGTGTTCTTGTTAATATGGAGACCTCCGCCCCCCACCCCCCAAATAGTTGAGTTTTCCATACGAACGAGACAAAAATGCGCATGTTTGCTCAATGCGCCCTTAAAAGTTGTGTCTACTTATCGGAGTAATCATATAAACGAGGTCTAAGATTAGCGAGACATGAACGGACCTCAATGTTTGTATAATTAATAAACAGCATATAAATATTTAGACAGATCCCACGGAGACATACGTTGCAAACACCTATAATAAAATTTAAAGCCGAGGTCACATGGCTAATACACCAAACAAAATACCTTCTGCATATACAACCTGAGGCGTGTTTCTTCCTTAAGGCCTGTTCACACTCTCGCGACCGAGTAAAGGCCCGTTCACACTCTTGCGACCGAGTGAGACCGAGAGAGACCAGACCGGTTTTTAAGCCTTTTGCGACTTCTTAGGACCGGATGCGGTGCAGCGGAGCTGGTCCTAAGAGATCGCAAGAGGCTTAAAAACCGGTCTGGTCTCTCTCGGTCGTACTCGGTTGCAAGAGTGTGAACGGGCCTTTAGACCGAGAGAGACCAAACCGGTTTTTAAGCTTCTTGCGACTTCTTAGGACCAGCTCCGCGGCATCGCATCCGGTCCTAAGAAGTCGCAAAAGGCTTAAACACCGGTCTGGTCTCTCTCGGTCGAAGTCGGTCGCAAGAGTGTGAACGGGCTTTTATACGACGCTCCTATCACATAGGCCATAAAAAATATAATTGTCTGCAAACGTGTTCGAAACTTACAAACGTATGGAGCAAATATACCTGGAATATGCTTGAGGTGCAGCTGCCAATGATTTAGTCATATGTGCCTGCAGCGATACCTTTGCATTGATACCTTTGCAGAACATTCTGACTGCACCTTAGCATACACTTTATTTTATTGGCGCCCAGATGTGCCTGCGTTTTGTGGCGCTGTCGCCGATCCTATCCCGCCACTGCGGTGAAGACACCTAAATGTCTTCACCGGATTTACTTCACGGATTTAGCTCCCACTTTCTGGCTGAGTCCTATATACTTGCAAGCCACACCGCAGCGTGACCGTGTGATCGAGCCCATCAATTAACACACCTCTCACTTCAGGTATAACTTCAACATGCTCCTATTAAATTAGGCCAAAAAACTACTTCGAGCATACTTTCCAGCACCTACAATAGATTTCGCCCTATACGAGTACTGGTAAGCGCGGGGAAAAGTTGAGTATATAGAGGGCGACAAGATTTGCCATGTCGATTGTTCAAACATGTCGTTTCTTTTTTTTTTCTTTTTGTTTGTAGATTGTTGAGAGGTCCTTTCCGCCCACCCAGGACATGGAAGACAGGTCGAGTCTTCTCTCGTACATGCACAGCGTTCTCGCCAGTGCCAACCTCAAGCCATACACGTGCGAAGTGCTTTCCATAAACGCATGTCTTGATAAACTGCAACCGCTCATCGGTAGGTTTTACGAATGCTCCTGTGACATTGCGTTTTGCGCCGACACCTACAACTTTGGCGAGTGATCGCTCGGGGGTTGACCTCTCCCGTGCCTCCCTAACGCACACCTCAAGCCGTGGCCACACTGCTTAACGCGTCGTACAGAAAACAGTGCGCAGAAAAGTTCTGCGGAGCGTTTCTTCCTTTGAGGTTCTGTCAAATTTCTTATAAAATATCGATCTGCAGACGCGATGGAAGCGTGCACGAAGCAAACGTGCTTCGACCATGCTTGAGACGCGTCCGAGGGTAATTGTGTCAGTGTGTCTGCAAAGAACGCCGCGCCTTTTGCATAACGTACGGGCAGTGTATACCCGCGGTTTAAGAAATCTGAAGCTACTAAATTCATGCAAAACTCTCTCTTGAGAAAAAGAAAGTCAATGGCTGCAATCTCTGCAGAGGGAGCTGGGCAAAACGACGAAGCTGATTGCACGTTTCGACCCAAGAAAATCAGTCGGAGCCGCGACACTGATCGTCGCTGCGCACAGTAGGTTTTTAGGTTTTAAACGTATTTTTCGCCGCCTCGACATTCGCCGAGTCCCGCCTGTTCTCGATTGCAGCAAATGGCTAACCCATGTGCTACCTGGAAAAGTTGTCTGTCCCGTTTGTAGGATAGAGAGTGGTAATAGAATATTTCGTAATGAGAGCCGCTCACGCTTTGGGGTCCCCCAAGCAACATGGAACTTCGCATAGGGCGCATGCGCAGAGACACTTCGAGTGCCTCTAGCAATTTGGGGGACGAAAAATGTCCTCCTATATAGTAAAGCTTCCTAATACATGAGGCTGGACTTTCGTCTGAACGTGGCGGTTATAATGTGGCGTCCTTACAAGCCATGGATGTTTTGAACACTTAATTTGTGCTCAATATTAAAGTGCATTCTCTCTCTCTCTCTCAATCGCTCGAGCACGCGCATGTTGTTACAAGAGTCTTGAAACGGCGTCTATCCGAGTTTACTATAGACCGACACGCTGTTTGCAAACAAGCCCGCGTTTGCCCGCAGGCGCAGGAACCGAATTCGCGTGAAGTAAAGCGTCCGCGCATGTACAGTGCCGTCGGCAGCGCTACCGCAGCTGCGTGCTCACACGTCTTCGAGGTCACTTCACGGCGTTGCCGCTGTTTTGAAAAATTTGGGCTTTGAATTTGTTACATGTATACACCGGTAATCATTTTTGAGCGAACGTGAAAGGCCTTGTCCACGAGCAAGTGATGCTCCGCTATTTACTTCCAAAGACCTCATAAGGCATGTGCCTCGTGCGTGTTCGCATCCTTGCAAGAGCACCGTAAATACATCGAGTGGTATCACGCGCCAATTGTGGGAAATCGGAACGCGCCTGGGTACAGACAGGCGCGACCAAATGTAAAGGAAAACTGAAGCGGTTTCGTATTTGAGGCTAAAACTTTTCAATCGTCTTTATATGGCCTCCACGATCACAGATATCAAGATTATTTTTCAATTTGGAACACAGAGGCTGCAGAAAATAATTTTCAGTGTGCCGCTGAAGCCCCTCCTTCCCGGAGCGTGACGTCATATCAAGTGCTTTTGGAATCTCCCCTCTCGCGCATCTTCAGCGCCTATCAAACATATGCACGCGCACTCTAGCTATTTAAAAAAAAGAAAAGAAAAGAAGGTCAGAAAAAGACCTTACTACTGGTGTCAATGCGAGAGAATATACACCATTCCGATATTTACGAGTTATCAGCCCAGCGTACGATTTCCTTAACCGAGCAGGCCCATGATCGTCGCTTCGGAAAGCGAGCAAATCACGCTCCCTACTCACGAACACTGAAAATGGAACCGGGCAGGAGCGACACGCGTTTGGTGGCCGAAATATTCTATGTCGTAACGACTGGTCGGTAGTTGTTCGTGTTCTCTCGAGTTTAGTTACATCTTAGGGGAAAACGAACGTAATTCTAGAGTAAACATACTTTAATCCTAGAGTAAACATACTCTAGAATTACCTCTAACTCGTTCTTTTCAAGAACCTCTTCATTTTCCCTTTAGGTAAAGAGATTTAATATTTTAGTCCATCTTCGTCACAACCCTGGGGTGGGTTGTGACGGAGGCTGCGGACCATCGAGCAGGTTGGTGTTGCAGAGCGCCCTACGTGACCACTGACTGTAGGGTGCAGTGGGGCGCCTGCGCCGCTGGCTGGTTTTGGGGCTTCCGCCTTGTCGGCCACGACTCACTATAGGGATTTCCCAGTCGTCCTTCTTTTCCTTTATTTTTTTTTCTCCTTTTGGTGCTGCAGGCCTCTGGCACGGACCCTCGGTATTTCTGCTCTCACCGGCATCTCTTTCTGAGTGCAAATAAATATTATCATCATCATCATTTTCTTTTACCAACCTATATGGAAACATGTTTTTGTTTTCTTGCAGAAGCCAGTTTGCCCGTAATGCCCATTCTGCCATTGCTGTCAGATGATCTAAAGCTGGAATTCAAAAGTGACGTCGCAAACGTTGTCCGCACGTTCCAAGATGAAAATCCGGCCGGAGGACCACAACGCCGCATGGATATCTTCATTGTTCACGCCAGAAAAATTTAAAACAAAAGCGTGAAATTTTTTTTTTAATTTGTCTAATAACTGTTTAAAATAAAGCTTTCAAGTTCACGCTACCTTATTGTGTCCCTGTCTAACAATGCTATTGTTTTTTTTTTAAAGATTACCGGAGGGGGGGGGGGGGGGGGCGGTTGCTCGGAACACTTTGTGAAGCCGCCAGTTATCTCGATGCTGATTGGCTGAGTCAGGTATGACGTCATGTATGACGTCACAGCGAAGCTCAACGGTGATAGGTCGATTTTTTGAAACCGCAATTATCATCGGTATCTTCATTCCAGGAGCTGCTATCAAGCGTACAGTGCGCCGCAATATGAAAGACCCACTCGGAGCGCTCGGCCACGCGCTCCGAGTGGGTCTTTCATATTGCGGCGTACTGCACATGCCACGCGTTAAAACCCAGGCACAACATCCGAGACCGAACGCTCCGAACACCAGAACGTGCCACGTGCAAAAGAACTGCCGAGGCCCTGTTATTATTTGTACATGTTGAACAGCCCCAAGTGTTCCACAAGAAAGTAGACACACGAGCATTTTTGAGAGTGAAAAGTTATGGAATTCGGCAACTTTGTAGTAAATAGGTCGTTAGTGGTGTCTAAACACCACATTCAATCACTTCGCAAAAAAAAAAAAAAAAATCGTTTAATGTGTCACACGTCTCATACGCTCAAATGCTTACATGCTCACATGCTCACATGCTCATAGGAACATATACTCATATGCGTATAGACTCATACGCTGAGCACGACGACATTTTCTGCATCTAATGCTGGAACAAATCCTTTATTCAAAACGAGCATCTCCCGGAAAATAGCTTATTAAAACATAATCAGAGTGGTAAAGGCGTTTTTGTGATAAGACAAACAACTTTGCATTCTGTAAAAATTAAATAGCGCAAAGGTTACACAAAGGACAAAGGACAGAACATATAGACAGGACAAGCGCTAACTCACAACTGGCGTTTTAATAGAAAAGAAGAGAAGGAAGCAGCATAGAAATATGCCGAAAAAGGAAGAAAAAAGATTTACAATAAAAGGAAAAAGTGAAAGGTATATACAAGAATGAATAAAAGAAAAGAGAAGAAAATGAGAGAAAGGGGAGCTGCGTAACTAAATTAATTCCTGGGAATATGTTGAAATTAAGAAAAGGCTGTAGCTTAAAGAAAGAAGAAGTTGAGAAGACTAGAAGTCTTCTCCGGTGCTATGCTCCGGTGCTAAGCTCCGGTGCTAAGCTCCGGTGCTAAGCTCCGGTGCTATGCGACATCTTCTTGTCTCTGTGCGATCGAGCCATCGCTCAGCAAATAACCAACGACCAGGTACCAAAAGTATACAGGTACGTTGACGACTATCTCGTGCTTCTAAGCAAAAAACCAGGTGAAAAAGAGGAGACGCAAATCAACAACATCCGAGCAATCTTTACGCAATATTCTCAAGGGCTAAAGTTTACCTACGAGCTACCTACAGACTTCTCCCTACAATTTCTCGATCTACAACTAAAATTCCAAGAATACCACTCGTGTTGGATGTATAAACCAAGGTCGAAGAAAAGATTACTTCAATATGAGTCTTCGCATTCAAAGCTCATAAAGACGGGGATCATCAACAACTGTCTCAACGCGGCCCTCAAGAAATCGTGCGAACACAAGGCGGGACAGAGCTTTGAAGAGCAATTACAACGGCTTGCGACTTCTGGCTATTCAAATACCATCTTGTGTGAGGCAGTAGAAAGAATGATCCGTCCTCGAAAGGGAAAGGAAAATACAAAACCCCCAAGACAGCGTCCTGCAGTGATTCACTATATCCACCAGGTGTCGCATAACCTGAAAAAGGTGGCGTCTAGATATAGCATCCCCGTCATATTTTCTGCACCTAACAAGCTCAAGAAGCTATGTCCAAAGATAAATAATCCGCAAGATCGAGAAGTACCGTGCACCGTCAAACACAAGCAATTATATGTACCTTGCCAAAGCCAGGTAATTTATGAAATACCGTTCACTTGTGGCAAGATATACGTCGGGCAGACAGGCCGCTGCGTCAACACCAGGTTGCGGGAACATGCCTCCTCACTCAATTCAACTCCAGCGGGACATCTCGCAGTACATGTTAGAGACTGTAAATGCCTACCGATCCTGACAAAAACGAAAATCCTACGACGGTTCCGCGATAAAACTTCAAGAGAAATCTACGAGGCCTTAACCATCAAAGACAAAGAAGACGCCTGTGTGAGTGCACCTTCAGTGGCTTTAACTGAAAAAGAATTAACTTACCTTCAGTGGCCAACTTGAGGTTGATTCAGCGGGAACTTCTAGTCTTCTCAACTTCTTCTTTCTTTAAGCTACAGCCTTTTCTTAATTTCAACATATTCCCAGGAATTAATTTAGTTACGCAGCTCCCCTTTCTCTCATTTTCTTCTCTTTTCTTTTATTCATTCTTGTATATACCTTTCACTTTTTCCTTTTATTGTAAATCTTTTTTCTTCCTTTTTCGGCGTATTTCTATGCTGCTTCCTTCTCTTCTTTTCTATTAAAACGCCAGTTGTGAGTTAGCGCTTGTCCTGTCTATATGTTCTGTCCTTTGTCCTTTGTGTAACCTTTGCGCTATTTAATTTTTACATCATGCATATCCAACTAGCCCACCTCAATATCTTAGAACTTTGCATTCCCTTCAAGTTCCGAGACCTGGGATGGGAGTTTGAACTCTTTATCGTCATAGTATGGACTATTCTCGATCATATCCTAAACTGTGATGGCACACGAACAACGTACAAGAACGCACGCTCCCAAAACAACATATCGCGAGCTGCGGAAGACAATGAAGATACAAGACATTCAAGGCGCGTGCTCTTGGGCGGCCGGTAAAGGAGTCAGTCGTAGCAAGCAAATTCGGCAGAGAATTCAGAAACAAAATTACCCGACCAAAGACCCCCAAAGAGCAAAGTCCCCGCGCGTTCCGCGCCATCATGAACGCCGCTCGCAAGGAAGAGATAATCCGCATCGCCCGCCAAATCAGTCGCCAGTCCCTCCAACTTAAGGACATTGTCGAAAACGTCGTGAGGAGATCGAGCGCCTCCGCGTCCGAGCCTGCGTCGCAGTTTCGAGCGAGCCAATATCAGCAGCAACCTCAGGTGAGGCGTACAGCCTCCTCTAAGGTCCAGTTGAGCGGTAGTTCGCGAGATGCCATCAGGGTCGAATCCCAAATCCTTACCGAGTCCAGCAGCTCAAACGATGGCGTCAAGATACCCACCACGACCCACATCTCAACGAGGCTGGTACCGGAACCTCCACCGCCACCTCCAGAAAAGGAACCCGAACACCCTAGACCCTACGAGGATGACCCCATCTGGGAGGTCTGGGAGAGCAACATGCTTCGACTCATCCAGCTTCTCAAGATGCTCTTACTAGAGCTAAAGAACGTCTCAGACTACACCCAGATAGACACGCCAGCGGAGGTCTCTATAACAGACTCCCTTTTGGCCAACAAGTACATGGCCAGCAGGATCATAGGAGGCTTCCACAACAGAGAGCAGGTCTCTCAGGCCGTGAACAATCCGCCGCCCAAGCCGTCCGCGCCGAAGGTTGAAGAGATGCCAGAACAGAGGCCAGAACAGATAGACCTGGGTACCTATTTTAAGAAATTGGCCATCCAGATGGACGCTTTGACAAAATCTCTCAAGTCAAATCCGTCTCCGCCTCACGCAGGCGCTCCGACGCAGGCCAGGTAAGTGGTAGTCAAGAGTGCACAACACGACCTTCTGCAGATCTTAATAATGCCACAGTATTTTGATATGTAAAGTTTCATAAGAATAACGAAGTTTAACACTGAGCACATTTCGAAAGCCTCTTTGCAGAAAGTACGCTATGGCCTTCATTGCTTACCTTATCTTTTAAGTGACGTTCTTGGTATTTTCATACAGCAACGCACCGTCTTCACTTGAAACACCACGAAAAAGCAGAAGGTTCGCTCTTCATTGATGAAAAGAAGTATCGTTTTTGATTACTAGTGGACGTTAGTGCGAGTAATGGAGTGTGCGGTTTGCTCTCCTCTGTCGAGATTTGAACCATACAATTGACAATTTTTTTAAAGCACCAAAAGGATGCGCTGCTGGCAATCTACGTCTCCTCGAATTTCCGGTAGGCGATAATAAAAAGAATCCTCACCATAACACCTCTTTTTGTAACGTTCGTGAAATATTCATGTCTAGTTAAAAGGTGGTGAGCTAAAGATTCACTTAGCGAGAGATTTGTTGGAGATCGTTTATTACTTCTGTAAGACGACCGATCTAATTTCTTATGTTCAATAGTACAACATAAGAATTTCGCCAAATCCACAACTTCGTGACTTCCGTAGAACTTCATCGTCCCAGGAATTTCGACATCAACAAGCTCGGAAAGCCTGCCGAAACGGAGTGACCGGAAGTCTCTTCGGACCAAAGAGACGTTTTTTTTTTTTTTTTTGTAAACGGGAAAGAAGCCTCTATACGTACATATATTTTCCGATTACTCGCATTCTCAGCCACGCAGTTTACATATCAGATATTTTCCACAAAAAATAATAAAAAAAGCAGGTCACTACCACTTGGAATAAGTTAAAAATATAGAACATGCGAATCAAGAAGGACTGGCATTCCCGACAAAATCCTGAACACCTTCTCGTTGCGTGGCGAAGGCAAAACAATGCTTCTCCCATACTAGCAACTCCACAATTGAAAATGGCGGCGACCACACGGAAAAGGTCTATTAGCGCCAAAATGGTTGGCTGACGCCCTCTTGTGGTTTCCCTTCGTGACGTCACGACCCAGATTTGCCTCGCCGTGATAGGCAGGATTTGCCTCTCCAAGAACCGGCGATTGGGCAGGCATTATCAGTATACACCAACTCATGTTTACAAACAAACCGGAGCGCCCGTAGTGGACGCTACCGGCGCCGCGCATCGCGCATGCGCGATGGGGTGTAGGCCATAAAGCTGGCCATCGCCGATAAGCAAACCTTGGAATGCGATGTTGTCGGCGTCGGTGCAAGTCCCCCCCCCCCCCCCCCCCCCCCCCCTCCCCCGTACTCTTTTTAGCTCTGGAATCGTTGATTCTACGTCTTCCTGGCAATGTCTGACTACATTAGCGGTCAAAGCGAAATTAACGAGGCTCGTGACTCCCCAGAAAGTCGCATAAATAGTGTAACATGCGGCGATTCATTTCCCGAGGACGCCGCAGAATAGACGCTAAAGCCTGATTCACATGGTGCGATTCTACTCGCGATCCTCAGTCGCGACGACGCTCGGGCTGCAAACGCATGAACCGTAGCTGAGATGGTCGACGTCGATACTGGAAATCGCGAGCAGAATCGCACCAAGGGAATCATGCATAACAAGTCGGTGATGGCCATTCGCAACAATGATGAACATCTTATTGTATCTACTGTTTACACCAAGCCTACGTAACCTAAGGACCCTTCAAACTGGAAAGTCTTTTGAAGCATGCACTTATTTCTTATCGCTATTGCCGTTTTCACGTTTGGTCTACGGGAACGCTGTCGTTTGCAGAAACGTTTTCAAGAACAGACGGCAGTTCAAACGATCAGGCGGCCGTTTGAACTCGAAGACGCACAGAACGTACTCCGCAGGTGGTCGGTATAGCTTGGCGGTGTTCCCGCGCTCAAGCTGGAACAAAACAAATACATTTGACGACTACAACACACCGTGAATTCAACCCAAATTGCTACCCGCACAAGCAATCGTGGGTTCGACGTCGTCTGGTTTTTCTTCTTTCACGGCACGCTATCCACGTTCACGGACAAACCGAGCAGGCAGAAAACACACGAAAACTAATCTTCAAACATTTTCCGACTTTTTTGGTACAGCCGCGTGTTGTGGCGTTTTGACGAGAAGGCAGGTATTTCTTTGTCTGGTTTCTTCCAAAAGAAAACACAGGAATGCACGCCCCGCATGGTGACTTCCGCCCACAGCCTCAGACCGGAAGGGCGCCTGTCGCGCCACCACCACTCCGTGACGTAACAGAGCTGATTTCGTGTATACAGGAAGCCATATGGTTTGGCCAATCACAAACTCGGACCACAGAGACGTTTTCGGTTGCGTACGTCGCTAATAGCCGGTGACAGGTTAGGATCACCAGCTGCTCACCCTACAGCGCGAGGTCGTTGTCTTCCGCCGGAATTTGGTTCCGCGTGCGCCGAGCACTGAGAGTCGTATTACCGCCCCGCAGCCAATGGCATTGCGCCATTATCCAGACATAAAACTCGGAGATAATAAGACGCCTTACGTTTCTTCTGTCAGCAACTGGAGATACGGTTGTCACGATCTCATTAGAGTTTTGCACATTACATTCCAACAAATAGCAGAACTCTATAGTTTATTTCGACAGTGACTATATACATGGAGGAAATACCATTTAACCAAAGTAATGAGTATCTTGTTCATATCTCTGGGGCCGCTGACAACCCATGCGGCAAATAAGTTAACGCCTTCACGAACAGGAGGGGCTATTGCCAGTGTATTTTGTGTCGATAAAAACCTCTTGATGTGTTACGATAAGAGCTCTAATACGAAATTAATAATTGTTGTAGCCGCGAAAACTAATTAATATTTTTAATTTGATACACGTTGATCGTGTAGTCCCGTTACCAGCCATCAGGTCAAAATATCCGGTGTGGGCGACAAAAAAAAAAAAAAAAAAATCGAACAAAAACATTTCTACCTGCTGCTAAACAAAATAAAGGTGGGGCAAAACAAAGATGGGCGACGGTTACGCTTATATTCTGAATTTCTACTACTGGCGTGGCGGCGGCTAAATATTGTTTTCGCACATATTAAAAGTGAAGAGACTCAAGATGGCGGCTCCCTTGTGACAAATTCGTATGTTGAAATACTTTCGAGAATCGATTCCTCTATAAGAAGAACGCGTTAGCTAATGCGCCAAATAGCCTATTTGGATGCAGTAGTTTTTTTTTTTAGAAATGTTTCAATACAGGTTTGCGAGTAAGGTTCAAGTAGCAGAATATTGTCACTGATACGACAAGGGGCCCATGGCATCACTTTCGAATGCGCCATTTCCGGCACGCGTTTTTCGCCTTCTATTGTGCTTCCGCTGCGTGACCACGTTCAAAGATCACGAGACGCAGAAGTGTATTTTAAGAAACTTTCGGCGGAAGCGAAATGTGTAAAGTGGAGATACCTTCAAGTCGTAATGAACGTGTTCTACTTCTTTTTATTTTTCATATATTTACCCCTTCCTTTTGTTCAGGCTGATTCCCCTTGAAGAGCGAGTAGGCCGCCTCGCTCACAACCTGGCCGGCGTCTCGAAAGCCATCGCGAAGCCCGTCGAAGATGTGGGCACGTCCGTGGACAATGTGCTGCGTTCCTCAGACCAGACTGCCGAAACACAACCTATGCAAAAATTCAGACTTCAAACTCAGCAGCAGCCCCAGCTACAGCTTCAGCTGCTACCCGAACTGCAAGCCCAGCTGCATGCTCTGCTTCAGCCCCAGCTACAGGCGCAGTTTATGCAGAACCGGAACAACGTGTCCTTCTTGTTGGAAAGGTCGGACTCGTCCTCAGTGCCGAGCATGGACATCGCCGGAAACACGATATCCAGCCGCCTTCGTGAGAACGTGAAGTCTTTGATCGACTACATGAAGCTGGTAAACATTGAGCTCAAGAACGCGGTGGGCATCAAGCCCCCTCCTCCCAGGATGCCCATCGCCGAAGAAGAGGAAATACGAGACGCCATTCAAAATCTCTGCCGGAACATGAATCGGATGTCCAAAGACCTGCGCTGTATTTTGGACGAAAACACCAGCGTCGCCGGAAGTAGACTTGTTGATGACTTAAAAGAGCCGGTCGCTAGGCGTCGTAGGAGAAGGCGTCGATAAAATACATGTGTTGGTGCGTTTTTGAATTTCTTTTGGAAACGTACGTGTGTTCTTATTGGGGATCGATGGCGGAGAATGTTAGCGCACCGCAGCTCGGCCGTCTCCAAGCACGTACATGACATGCTCAAAATTGTGGTGCGCAAAATATTTTAAGGCCGTCGTTCTGTCTAACGCAAATGAGTAGAGTGTTTTGTATTCTCTTAGTAAAGTATTTGACGGAGTAAAGGCGCGACATGTCAACTAGAGAGGAGAGAAAAATATAGAGGAGGAGAGAGTTGCCGGAAGTCACGTGGCCACACCGGACCACATTTGTTTTTCCTCCGATATTTCGGCCGTGCAAAGCCGACGATAGTTTTAATATTGTAACGGTCAAGGCACACAAACAGGAAATCCGCGTTCGCAGTGATGTAGCCAGTCGAGAGTAGACCAGAAAGTTTGCTGCCAATAGAAGATTGCAAGCTTCTCGACTGACCGCCGCCATGACCCTGCCCGTGCGGGAGAGCCCATGCATTTGCAGGCCTGTCAAAGCTATGTTCAAGCCAACGTTGGTTCAAGCGCTTCTGCACGATATTGCACGCAAGGGGCACCAGCACTGATTTTTAATATTGTAGGCTAGATCACAGATCGAGGCTTGTCTTGCTGGGGTCGAGTGGTACCACCCGCAGGGATCCCTTGACCCCAGCTAATGCATGGGACTCTATGGAAAGAACGAGAAAAGAGTGCCGCTTCCCCCGTTTCTAGGCTGTTATCGGCACTGAAACATCTTGGCTGCTTTTCGGGAAGCCTGTCAGATACCTTCTGTAGAGACATTAAAACTGACAGCCCTCATTGTTCTTATAAATAAATGTTTTGTGGGCAAGAGTGACTCTGCTGGGCGAAAAATAGTGTGGCTCAATGCGACAAGAGACACCTAGAGTTACCTCGGAGTCGGGGGCGGTTTGAATGAGTTGGGTTTAGCGGACGACGAGGTTGAAGGCTGTGCTACGCGGAATTCGCTCACTCTCGGAAAGCCACTGTCAACATTAAACGTTTTCGATATTAATCAACTTCTGGGCTTCCCCGAGGGCGGTCATGTTGACCGCAAGTTCTTTTGTTAACTCAACTACTTGAGCAAGCTCGTCAACTCAGCCGTGGGTGCTCTGGTGCGTTTGATGTTTTAATGGGTGTTTGAGTGCTTGACAAATACCAATTCGATATCCAACAATCCTATAGGAAGTATTCACTGGACGCTATATTTTGGGTGCTGTTTAGAGCGCATGCTCAGAACGAGCTCACATTAATAGCCTGCTAAGACTGGCAACCTTGATGGTGCTAAATGCACGCTCCAAAAGGACTACGGAAGCTCGCCGTCATCACGCGCTCAGCAGCAGCGCACACGGTTATGGCCGCCATTGAATACTCCCTATAGACGCTTTCAGGCAGCTCTGCATGGGCGTCGCCATAACCGACCTTCAGTATTTGTTCCCTCTTATTCCGTTCGCTCCACTTCATCATTGCGACAGCAGGACAGGTTATTGCCACTTTAAATGTTACTGTGTCCTTCTCCCCAGCAGAGGCCCTTGTAGACACTCGTCAACGCCTGCTTCAGAGGTTCTGCATCTCTAAGACAATAGTAGGTCGGCTAAGGCGGCTGAATCTGGATCGCGCTGAAAGCGTCTATATAATGATCGCAGCCCACCATAAAACACTCGCCCTCGAGCACCGCGAAGAAGCTTCTATCAAATACTTTACCAGGGGGAATACACTCCACTCCTCTCAAATACAATAGCCTCGGCGCGGACAGGTTTTCTGGGCTTGGCGAGAGCCATCTATCGTCGGGGAGGTCTCGGCTATCGATGATATTGATGTTCTACATACCAAATTCATTGTTGTGGAAATGCGCGAGACACGTGCCGCGCGCCACTTCTAAGAATAACATGGCGTCTGAACTCTAGCTCAGTGTTGCGCTAAATACTTTGCTGCGCTATGCCGCCATGATCTTCTCAAGGGTCGCACGTGCCTCGTGCATCGACGCACCTTGCGTTACTTTTGAAACATGAAGGGGCTTTAGGTGGAATCAGAGACGACACAGCCGCGGCCGCCGCGAACATCCACGTGCACTTGCGCGTGGACTGACGCGGACCTCCACTCTGTCATTCGGCGCTGTAGGCGTTCTGTCTAATGCAAATGAGCAGAGTGGAGTGTATTCCCCCTATAAAGTATTTGCTTCTATATTCCTACTTTTGTGTGTTGCCTGGTGTCAAGCAATGACAGCCGGTCGTGCCACAAACGGGCTCCCGATCCGCTATTTATACCCCTGTTACACGGGCACACTTAACCACGGTTAACTCAGCTTAACTGCTGTTGCGCGGCACCACAGATACCGCACTATACCCTCGGACAGCTATTTCAAAAGAAGTGAAGAGAGCGCGTGCACTGCTTTGATGGGTGCTCAAGATGCTCAAGCGCACGTTCGCCCATAGCTCTGACTGCATCGCCGCAGAATGTTGTCGGCAAGTATTGTGCGCTAATTGTGGTTTAGCGTAACTGCAGTCGTGTAACAAGGGTATTATACCCTTGTTACACGAGCACACTTAACTGCAGTTACGCTAAACCACAATTAGCGCACAATACTTGCCGACAACATTCTGCACCCTTGTTACACGAGCACACTTAACTGCAGTTACGCTAAACCACAATTAGCGCACAATACTTGCCGACAACATTCTGCGGCGATGCAGTCAGAGCTATGGGCGAACGTGCGCTTGAGCATCTTGAGCACCCATCAAAGCAGCGCACGCGCTCTCTTCACTTTTTTTGAAATAGCTGTCCGAGGGTATAGTGCGGCATCTGTGCTGCCACGTAACCGCAGTTAAAGCTGAGTTAACCGCGGTTAAGTGTGCCCGTGTAACAGCGGTATAACAAGGGTATTAGCCTACTGCAATATAGATCAGTGGGCACCAGTCGGGGCACCATGCTTGCAATTTACCAGTTAGTTTTGTTGCGCCGCCGCTGCCGACATGGATCAGGGAACCACCCTGCATGGATCAGTGAACCGTCTGTCTTGTGACAACGCCGCTGGAGCTTTGCGTGAGTCGAGCATTAGACGGTACGAGCCATCTCGTGCACTGGCGCCTGTCCCTTGTGAACTATACTCTGTTTGACCTTATGATGTACCGCAGGAAAGGCTATACAAGCGCGAGCTGCTTGCTCTACGGCACATCTCGACGGCACAAGCTCTCGTGCGTTAAGAGCAGCTCTTAAGGGCTGTTTATACTCCGACGTCGACGAACGTGACGTGCGCCGGCGTTCGTCGTCAACAGCGACACGACGCGCTGCGCTGAAAGGGTTGCGGTCAACGGCATTTATACTCCATCGCGGTCCAGCGCGCTCCGACGCGCACTTCGCGTTGCGCCTGCGCGTCGCCATGACAACCGCGACATAAGCTGATGGTTTATTTCCGTTTCCGTTTGCATTCTGTCCTGACTTGTTCAGACGGGAGGAACCATGGAGAGCCGATTCGCGATGTATTTAGATCAGCAAAAAAAGAAAAAAATTGCAGCGGTGCTTTTATGGCGCCGAATACGGCGCCAGAGAACACGCACGATGTACGTACGAGACATATTTGATAAGCGCACAGTGTTTGGAGAATTTTACCATCTAGTACAGGAGCTGCGCGAGTTCGACCCAGAATACCACTTCCAATATTTCAGGTAAGGCGACGGTCGATAGTCATGTCGCTTATCATAGTGAATCAATTCTGTCGTTTCCTTTTCTCCAGGATGACGAAGGCTTCATTCGACGAGCTGCTCGGACTCGTCCACGACCGTCTTGTACACTCGCCCACACATCGCTCTCCCATCTCGCCCGCTGAGCGGCTGGCCATCACACTGAGGTATGTACTACTAGGGTGCCTTCATGTGCACTTTGCTTGGGGTGATGACATTTTACCATTTTGTTTCGAACGCTTATTTTTTTGTTTTGTTCTGAAAGCGTGAAAGAGCGTGTCCCTGCACGCGCTGCTGGAGTGACTATGCTAAGGCAACATTTTGTTTCTTGCGATTTCTTTGTATTTTCCCTGTGAGCGCGTGCTGTCGGCATCGGGCACTACAAACGGTGGCATCCCCCAAAACAGAAGTACATTGAGGCACTCTATGTACTATATATTTGATATACACTTCATTTTCGCGGATGCTTGACTGATTAGGTTATGCTTCTAGGCGGTGTACTACCGCCGTACACACGCCCAACTGGTATTAAAATACCTCAAACCGTTAACTTATGCGCTCTCATCTACTCCGATATTTTAATTGAGAGGCCCAATCTTGACAGTGCGTTTCAAAATAAAGTTTGGGCTCTTAAATCGCCAGCAAAAATCAGGGACGCGATGTTTCAAGTAGAAACTTACCTCAAATGCTTCCTTTACTGGTTGGATGTACAGCACGCATTCATATTTTAAGTCTGAACTCCTAGAACAAAAAAAAAAAAAAAAAAAAAAAAAGGCCTAAAATGGGAAAGTTTTCTTTTTAAGTTTTTCGTACTTTAAATAGAGACTTGAATTTGTAATATGTAGAGGGGACTAGTGAGGTATGTATTCGAGGTAAGTTTCAACTTGATGGGTTCAGTTGCTGATGTTCGACGGGCCATTAGTACTACCTTGTAACTTTATTTTGAGACACTCATAAATAAGCGGATCAACGTATCATTGTAACACTTACTACATCAAACACATATTTTACTAAATAGAAAGGCTGACCCACTTGACAACATCGTCATTCATTTTTTTTTGCACTTTAAATTGAGACTGAAATTTTTAATGAGTAAATCAGCACAGTAAAACTCATATTCGAGATCAATTTCCACTTCATGCGCCAATCCCTTGATTTTTGCGGGCGGTTTTAGAGTAGAAACTATTTCAAAACACCGTAGAGCGTCAGTCAAACACATTTAGTACATATTTACATATTGCGTGTATAGCAATATAAGTCTGACGGAGCACTCTCGTAGGTCGTTCTTAGTCA